GAAGCGGGTCTTAAACACGGGTTAATCTCATTTGAATTCACACAGACCTACCTCATCACCAATAGTTTCTTCTTTCGGAGACAAGGAAGTCATCATCATTCTTCTTGTCTAGGCGCCAAAAAATCTGTTGGTAAGAAAGTTGATATCGGATGGCCAGATTTCAGTAATCCGTTGTTTTCATTCTCCAATATTATTGAATGTGTGTCTGTGTTTTGTTCATGTGTTCATCACTTTCCGACGATTCGATGAAAAATTGAAACTGTACACACATTTTTCTGCCTTCAAATCCCTTCTTCATCTCCTTAAGATCCGTGGCCTTTATCCCGTGATGAAATACTTAAATGCCAACGATTTAACGACCATAAAGTGGTCAGTTCTCCTCATTCCTCTTTTATTTTTTGCTCCCCAGGATAATATAATTTGATAGATCGCGATTAAATTGACCCGAGTGTTTTCGTTTAATTGAAACGTTTTATGGCGCCTCTCTCTCTTTCAGCGGGGAATTAAACTTTGTTAAGCCCAATTGAACACTGAGTTAATTAGGAACAGAAAAAACGGAGAGGAAAAGGAAAACGAATAGACAAAGTGGCTCTCCCTGCGTTTTGTGTTGAAACGAATTCCAGGCATTCGATTAAACCTGGCTGAGGCAGTCCCTTCTTGGGGCTCCTCTCTTGCTTTGCCTAGTACGTCACAAATTAGAAGAAGCGTGATTTGTACGAAAAGAAAAATAAAGGCTAAGGGGTGGGCATTCAAGCAGCGATTTCATTTTGTTGAATTGTTTTCAGTCGTTCACAAAAATACGCGTTCTCTTCTTGCCGCCTATCTGCATTGGTGTAAATTGGGAGACACCACCTCAACGGGCGCTTTGTTCATGAAGTGTTTGTTTTCTTCTCATTTCCAGTCAGTCTGTCTGGAAAACATTATACAACTTTCCAGCTCATTTCGAATGCAAATTACTAGGTCTTGCGAAAATTTATGTTCACCTGCTGTCTATGGTACCATTTCAAACATTGAACAAGGTTCAGATATCAAATAAAAAGTTAAATTCGCACAAGTCTTTGATGTCAAGTAGGCAAACAAAGAAAAAAGTTTAATGAATTGCACACGTGTGTTCTTTGAAGGGCTTCCTCAAAACGTTTCCTGCAAGGAAAAGTCACGTTGAGTTTATTCCACTTCCATCTCCGTTTTTAGCAATATCACCCCCATTTGGTTTGCTCTTCTCTTTTCTCTTGAAATTAAACTCTACGGCTTCTTCTTCTTCTTTCTCTTCTTCTCCTCCTCCTCCTCCATCATCTTCCAAATCTGCCCTCAACTATGTATATTCCTTCCTCAACTCTCGTTCCTCTCTCAATTTGGCTTGTTCGTTCCAAAAATGCATCCGTGCCCCAGAAGCAGCCAGCTTCCGCTTCCTCATATGTGTAATTTGTCAAATTTGCGCAGACGCCGACGCCGCGTCCCAGCTCTTCTTCATTTTTCCACTTGCGCAACTCCGCTCATTAAGCTTCCACCTTTTCCTTTTTCCATCTTTTCGACGGAAACCCGTCTTCTTCAACATCATCCTACTGTACTTTGCCCTGTTTTTTTACACGCTTCCGGTCTATTTTCAGTCAAAACCCATCAAAACTGATTTCATGTGGATCTAAAAATAGATCTGAAAAGCCGTGGGCATTTCAAAGGGCAAAAACGTTAGTGTGGGTTGGGAGATGCCATATTATTTGCGTTTCAAAGAAGAACCCATCGGACTATGGCCAGCCAGTGACCCAAGCCCTCGCCGCCGAATCTTGTTGCAATTTGTGTGGCACAACGCTTTCTCGGCTCACCAAATTAGCTCTTCTGTGTTTCGTTTCGAATTCTTTGAGAAAACTAACACTTAGGCAAACAGGAAAAACTCGAGAAAGTGGGTTCTGACCGAAACTAGCGCAAAACTGCTCCTTGATACTTTGTCCCACAGACATCGCATCAAAACTCACGATGTAACGAAGTGAACATGACGGTTTCCGTAGCCCAGAGAAAGAGGGACACTTTCTCACCGAGGTGTAATGTTTCAGACGTCTCACAGCTCAAGAAAAAATAAGTTTGCTCAAATTTGCCGTCTTCTTTCCCATCCATTATTTAAATAACATCATTTTCTTGTTATTGTTATTGAACTACGTTGGGTAGAGGCAGTCTTTTCGCGTCCTCCTCTTCCTTCGCGTTCGGGATTAGGTTACTGACACAGATAAACGTCGAGGAGGCGAGTGCTCATCCTCGCCGCGAGTCCCAACTCTTATTCTGGTTTGTTGCTCAGCTCCGCTCCGCTCTTTTTCTGGTCAAATCCGAGACATCCTTAGTGTTGAGATTAGTAACGTTAATTAGATCATCAACTGCGTTTGGCCGTACTTGTGCAGAAGACGAAAAGAAGATACCCCCGTTTGCTCCGTCTTGCTGAGAGAGAAAGTGAGAAAGATAGAGAGATTATGCCAGTTTGCTGGGCTTCGCTTCCCGGTTGAGCCGAGTAACGTCAAACGTTCTGCATAATCTTGCTTATTATGCAGTAGATGTTACTCTACATTTATTCAGATTAGAAAAGTCTAGGATGAGATGATACCGTCATTTTCCATTTTTATCCCACTCCGAAAGACGCCTCTTCTTGATCGTTCCTTTTCTAGACGGCGTTGAAAGAAAGAAGAAGGAAGCGGGAATGAAGAGTGACGAATGCCATTAAAAATAATCTGTGTTAAATGACTGGCAGGAAGTGACACCAAGATGCTCCTCATTTGTGCCGTATACTTCCTCGCGGAGAATCTGTGCTGGAGTTTGGTGTCTAAAATAGAAAACGAGTTTTTACCACATCACCATATCTGTCTCACAACATTTCGAAAAGTCCCCCTACGTTTTTGCTTACTTATCTTTCAGTTATTGCTGGTTTTTACGAATAGTTCATAATTAGCAAACCCTTATCTAACATTTGACTAAGAGAAGGCGCGACATAAGCACATGCGATGATCAATTTACTATGTGCATTAAAGCATTAGCCGACTTTTTCCGGTGTTGCACTCAATAAGATTAAATTCCGCCATGTCCTTACTGATTTTAGCAAAATCTTGGGAATCCTGAAAGCACTGGCACGTCAAAGCCCAGAAGGAGGGGTTTCAAAAAAAAAAAAACACACGTCTCCTTAATATTCGGATGTGCCTGGTCCGTGTTTCAAAAACGTTCAATAAGGGAATAAGGGGCACGAAAGGCTCCCTCGGCCACTTCATCTTCAAAACTCGTCGTTCTTTTCATCATTCGCAGATTCTTTGGCTGCTTCGCATCTTCCAAATACACCACATCGGATGCGATTTATTTTCTCTCGCTCCTTGCCGCACTTGTTCTCAACAAGAACTGTTGGAGCATGATGGATGCTCGCATCCTTCAAACTGGTCACGCACTTTGTCGACCAAGACGTAGTATCACGGAATGTTGTTTTTCCTTCCCCTCCGGCCCGCTTTGAAACTGGAAATAGGCTTGGCGTAATTTTCCTGTTCCTGCTGGGCAACCACCCTGTCCCTGATTTTTGAATTGCTCCAATCATTTTTTTCAATTGAGATGAATCAGGTATCTCAAGACTCTTTGTCTCTGAGATATATTATGTGAATCATTTCATTCCTAGAATTCATTGGCTGGAATTGAGTTAATCCAATTCATTTGACTTGAATCTTTCGTTATCTTTGCTCTTTCCCTGTCCAATAATCATTTCCTCTTTCTTTTCAGAGAAGGCGCGGTGTTCAGAGCACGTTGGGAGTCAATTCAGCGAACTGTTAAACCTGTAACGTCGTCAGTATGGTGAGTTCAAGAAAAAGAAAGTCGTTTTTGACTCTCAACTCACAGAAAAGCCTAAAAGAGAACAGGTAATTAGTTGTGCTTTGATTTCATAACTGGCACTATGCTCAAAAACAAGTGAATAAGTTGTCAGCTGTAAAGACCTTCTTCCCACAAAACATTTACCCGAAAAGCAAAAAATTCTTTCCAAACGAGACAATTTTTGCACTCAAAGTGGAAAAGTCATCGTTTGCAGACGTCTAGTTTCAGATTCTGAAGGGTCCGAAAGCACCAATGTGCAAGTTATTTTCTAACCGCCACTTCCCCTTTTCCAGTCACTCCTCCGTCTTTGAAAAACAAAACTGGAGGCGCGGAGCAGGTGGAAACAAGACGAGCTAATTGGGCGTGACCTTATATTTCCCAACCTTTTTTGCACTTTTTCCTATCGGTAAGGCAGAAAAAATGAAAAATGACCAATAGTCGCATCAGTGGACTGAAGTCAACCGGACACGACGTGGTGTTGTTTTCATTCTGATGCTTCTGAATCAACGTCTTATCTCACATGATCCACTCTTTCTTTCTTTCTTTATCTCCGTTTGCCCTTTTTTTCTCTTTCTCAATCTCAATTCGCTCACAATCCAAACCCGAAAAAAACTCTTCTCGCTCACCAAATAATTCCGAGGCTCTTCTCGTGGTTGGTCCATGCTCCAAATGCGTGTTTTCCGTTTTTCGCCGCATAAAAACACATTCCGAACCATTTCCTGTCCGCAACCTCGACCTCTTCTCCTCACACTTTCCCAGACTCACCGGGGTGTTAGATAAATACAACAGAACGTCAGGCACAGAAACATAAAATATCATTTAGTTGTGCGTCACTTTTAGGCATCGGGCTCGCACCCGTATTTTTTGTCAACTGCAACAAACTGCCAAGCAAGTGGACGTAGTTTATTTGGGAGTTTGCGTACATATATAAAATGTGTGATTGCAAGCGTAAAATATATTATAATGGGTTGAGCTGTGCTCTCTCTCTCTCTCTCTGCCTCTGAAAGCACATGGACCCGCCCACTTTGTCGCAGCTCTTCTCGTTTAGGGCTTACGCGAGCGAGAATCACTCGGACGGGCAGAGTTGCCAGATTCTCGTCCCTAGTGCCTTCCTAATCTCTGTTATTCGTGATCACACCTTCTCCTCCTATGACTTCCTGACTTTTCCCGACTACATGGCTATTCGACGGCGTTCATTGAAGTATTTGACACTGAAAGAGGATTTTGAGAATATTATGGCCTGGAGCGTGTTTATTTACATTCAGGTAAACGAGAGAAGAAGATCCATCGGAAGTAGGCTAAACCGGAGATCAGAAAATCTGAAAATTCACGTTTTTCACTTCTGGAACAAAAAAATGTTCGGAATTCTCATGTTTCAGTCATATCTTTAATAAATTGAAGGGAAACGATTGTCAAGTCAAAAAGTCGTCTCGATTTTATGATTCTGAGCTCAGCGCTGTGACTTTTCTGCTAAGTGCTAAGAAAGAAAGGATGAAAGAAGAGTTGCATTCAAACGAGATACCTTTTGACTCGAGATTCATTTCTTGCTAATGAGCTATCGGATCAGCTGACTCATATTTCAAGTTTCCGAGTGCTAAGCCCATGTTTTCTGATCTTCTTCGGTTCGGTAACTTTTTTTTCAAACCATTTGTTGGAATCGAAGATGTTCTGTTTTTCGCTAAAATGATCCCTTCCGAGCTACTTTGTGCGGTTTCTACTTTCACAATGACAACCTTTGTCAAAAGACACTAAAATTCTCTTGGCAATAATTAGTTTGACCCGAAATTGCTCTTGAACGTTTCCAAATGCGACTGAGGGGTGCCGCCGCACAGATGAGGTATGAATGGGTGAATGTGTGACGCGAGTCCACTTCCTGTGCCACTAGAAACGATTTCGATTCGAATTTGTGTTCTGTGCTGACCGCTCTGACACACGTACACCCACTATTCCTTTTTTTCAAAGCGCCTTCCTCGTTTGGCCTCTCCGCTCACTCCATATCATCCATCCTCCAATTAAAACTCAGAACCACGCGTGGGATAATAAGGCTGGTCCAATTAGAGCGGGAAGAAGGGCTTCATCGCACGTGGATCTCACGTACACACAGTCCGTCCACCTCTACTTTTTTTCATTTTCAGGCGGCGCTTGGCGGCTCGCTTTGGACGAGTATAACGTCGCCAGCAGGGTCGGTCAGTGTTCCGACCAGTACCGTTGCCACAATTACGTCGACGGCGATTCTGCCCGTCAGAGTGGTTCCACACGCCGACGCCGCATTTGTGGATACTCTCGGACCCAATTCGCCTCTTTCTGAGTACCTTCCAGTCAAACTATGTCTTGGATTACACGATGTTTTCATCGCTCTCTTCCTGGTAATTTCCTCTTTTCAATCATAATCTACACTGTTCTTTTCCAGGTGATGTTGATATTGTTAACCATATTCGGAAATATTCTGGTGGTGCTGTCTGTGGTTGTGTATAAACGGATGAGAACGTTCACAAACATCCTTCTCACGTCATTGGCAACTGCGGATTTGTTGGTCGGGCTGATCGTGATGCCGATGTCACTGCTAGACCTTCTGCATAATCATCGATGGCCATTAGGTTAGTTCGCAGTAATCATAGCCAGACGAGGAAGGATGGGATTAGACACAGGAAGCGATGTGCACATATTCTTAGAAAACTACTTTATTCGATTTTCAAGTTTTCAGGTCGATTTTTATGTCGAATGTGGGCCACATCAGACGTCCTTCTGTGCACCGCGAGTATTCTGAATCTCTGCGTCATCAGCTTAGATCGATACTTCGCCATTACATCACCTCTGAAATACCCGAGAACAAGGTAATCTCTTGCTTTTTTTCCTCCTTTGTCTTCTTTCTTTTTCGTAAGAGTGCAGCAGAGTGGGTGGAAAGAAGAAAATCAGAAAAAAAAACAGATGAGGCGGACGGACGCAGCCCAATATCACGCTTCAATGGTCCTGCCAATCTAAAATTAACTCGATAAACGGACTCTTTTCTCTCTCGGCAACAATAAGAAAGGCACGAGATTGCGGCGCGGATCTCTGTTGTATTTTTGAGAGAAAATGACGAAAGTATGTACATATTTCTCTTCTTTCAGATCACGGAAGATGGCGGCCGGGCTACTCACTGCTGTTTGGGCCATATCCTTTGTGGTGTGCAGTCCGCCGTGGGTGATTCCGAGTTGGAATCTATTCACGGACAACAACAACAACACGGTACACAATCACTATCGACTTTTCGCATTGTTTCTGTTTCAGGGAAAATCGGGCGAGGACTTCAAATGCGCCTATTCTCCTTCAGTGGCGTATCGAATCTACAGCGCGCTCGGCAGCTTTTACCTACCTCTCCTTGTGATGCTCTTCGTCTATTTCAAAATCTTCCGGGTGGCGTCTGAACGCGAGGCTCTCATGAGGCAGTCCGTCGGAACTTGCCGGCTCAGCAACCGACTTTCCAAGGCACAGCAAAAAAATCACCGAAACAACTTGAGGTTTGCCCAAACACCGATTAGTAATGCATGACTCCTTCTGCTCTGTTTTTGCCACCCCTCTCAAAAACTTGTGTTTTTCCTTTGCAGAACTGCAAGTGCACCTCACTCACGCACAAGAGTTCAAGTCAACCACAATTGCGGTCGTGTCAACTACTCGGTGCGGCCGATGGAATATGCAAAGTGAGAAATAATAACATGAGGTGAACGCCCACGATTCCTCTTTCAGTCGCGTGGAGAACTCGTTGAAGCCGAGTCAGGAAAGATTCGATTCGACGGATTGCGAAGATTCTCCGCCGAATGGGGACAGTCTGGAAGCAGGAACTACGTGCAATGTAATCGCTTTTTCTTTTCATTCCACTCATAATTGAGTCCTCACGTGACGACTCGAAGACGCGCGTGCATATATCCTATTTCATCCTTAACGAGGAAGAACTTTTTCAGATTTCCATGTCCTTGGTGACGAATTCGCCTCCGAACGGACTTCAAAAGGAGCCAAAGAACTCGATGGAGCGGGAGTGTCATTCTCTGGCGGACATCGTCAACAGCACAGACACTCCGGTGCGTAAAAATACTGAAGTTGGCATCGCTCCGTCTCTGAGCAAAAGAGCCAGACAATGCAACGCCAGACTTCAACCTAATAACCTACTTCAGAAGGTTTGGCGCAACGGGACGGAGCATAATCGAGTTTTTGTTTTTCAGGCTCATGAGCATTATCAAATTAACGGTCCGGGGAAAGCTGTTCGCGGATCGAAAGAAAAGATGGTGTACCTCAGGGAGCGAAAGGCACTCAAGACTATCGGAATTGTAGTGCTGGGTGAGAAAAAACGCAACGTTTGAGGAACAAAAAATTCCACGTTCAGGATTCATAATCTGCTGGATGCCGTTCTTCATCATGTACCTGGTGGAGGTGTTCATCTCGGATCCCGTCGCCGAGTCCGCCGTCTACAGAGTCATTTCCGAGTTCTTCCTCTGGTTGGGATACTCAAACTCGGTACGACCTTCGTTTTGCAAACAGATTGAGCAACATAATTTCAGGTGTTGAACCCGATCATCTACACCATGTACAACGGGGATTTCCGCCGCTGCTTCCGTGATCTTCTCTCCTTCGGATGCGTTCAACATCATCGACGCACCATGAGCGTAAAGAAGCTTCACCAACAATCAACGATTTTTTAAGCTATGTGTACAATTTTCGGCTTTCTGAACTGTCTGAATGGTGTTTTGATTGATCTCTTTTATGGATTGCCTCTTTCTTCTTCCCTCTTCCTTTTCCCCAAATGTTCCCACGGTTTCGTTTCGAATTCAAACTGGCCGGCCCAATATTCCTCTAAATTCACCAAATCTGACTGCGAGTTCATCCTTTGTAAACCCGATCTTCTTTCGTTCACCAAAACAATTCCCCCCGTACCGAATATATCAGAGAAATAGCCGCATTGGTTTCTGTTTCCCTCCCTGCTTCCCATAATAAATCACTGCTTTTCTATTTTTGGGTTGCGCAAGTTGTGGACAATGCGTGGCGCGGAAATAATTTTCAGATTAAAGAGGCAAACAACGAAGCAACTGTTGCATATGACTCGGATTAGGCTGAAAATTATTATGTTTTCCCTTTTGCCTTTTGTGCCGATGAAACGAGGTCTTCTGGGGCTTTCAGGTAATTACGAAAAGTTTGGATGCTTTTGGCGAATTTCCTCAAATTTGTCGGTCCCATTCTGCCCTCGTGTCCAAATCACCACCAGAAAGTTATTTTCTTTTTTGTATCGTGAGTCACCGGCAAGAATAATGGGTTTTTTTTGCGCTGAGAAATAAAAACAAAAAGAGTGAATGTGATCCATAAGAAAATCAAAACAAAAAGCACTTAGCCTTCCGGTCCCTCCATATATTTTGCGAAAGAGTCGATTTCCGATTGTTTTGATAGTCGTCAGTGTGCATTTGTGGGAGAAGGGAAAAAGAGAAAATGAAGAAGTTACAAAACAGTCCTTATTTGGAGGAAGGTTGGATTTGAGATCTCCCAATTAAGCGATATCACACCTCGGAATGCTCATCCCCCACCACGAAAATGCTCTTCATAATTGCGACGGCTCAAGCGTCGGCATGATGGATAGGTTGATAGTCCATCCGATGATAGGTTGCTGAATGGATGGCACCCACTCGCTGATATATTTCTCATCGGGCTTCTCTCCGAACAATGGGATATTTTTTGAAAGCTGGCGGATTCCAAGACTTCGAGGCGTTTACAACAACCGCCATCACTCCTATTTACTACAGTGCTAGGGGGAGCAGAGATGTAATGAGGGAGCCTTGCGATCCGCAGAGACGAAACATTCGGTGGCACGACGGCAGCGACAAGAGCATTACACATTGGCAAATAGCGAAAATTCTCCGCGGGTTCTGAGAGAGATGCGAGTTGCTGATCGGAGACGATTTCTTGGAATCCCCTGCGACGAGATACTTCGTGATCGCGGGCGGTGGCAGACGAGCAAAGCCACACAATAAATTGGAGAGAGAGAGAGAGGGACAGAGAATTGCGAGCTCCGAGTTTTCAAGTAAATCCTTCGTCCGAATGGCAATTGCAAATGAACGTCAGACTGTGAAACGGAATGAGTTCGGAAAATCTGGAGACAGCGTCACTTCGAGATTGGAATCAGTTGCATGTAGTTGCAATGGACGCATCACATATGTATGGGCTATGATGTGTTCTGAAGGCTAACGTCCTTGACCGCTACTCTTACTCGTTCCTGAATTGCGAGGGTTTCCTGACCTGTAATTATCGTGTTTTTCTCCGAAATATCAAATTCTCTGAGAATCCTATCAGTCCCTGCAGCCGTTCGACTGCACGTTCAGTGAGCCCCTGCTCGCTAGTTGATCACAACTATCTCTTCCTACTTTTCCCGATCAGAAATCGATGAGAGAAAAGAAGAATCATATCAGAAATTTTAACCATGGGAAACACAAATGTACACAATATCACATGACGCTCATACACTATCTTTTTGCAACTATTCTGAATGCCTGCAAAAGCAGTTGTGGGGGTCCATATTATCATGGATCGTTGAAACGCCGTACTTTCAATCTGTGCCAGAAAAAATGAGCTCCAGATGTGCGGCGCAATTCGGGCGTTCGATTCGTTTTACTACAGGAAAAACTAGCGTGTGTGAGTCTTCGAATAACCACGAAGTGTGTCCACATGTCAAGGAGTTCGAAAATCGGTCATGCCAACACAAACTGCGGTCGTGTACACGAAATGATGTCATCCAATTGGCCGGTCCCTTACCAAATATGATCAGGAGCATAGGAAACAAAACAGGATGCGGCGGTCCTTTTTTCAGATGATTCATATTTCTATATATGGACATTTTGATCATTTTCCTTTCAAAACATATTCCTTTTGCCTCCCGTCTTTTGTTTCCAACATCTCCTTCTATACAACGATTAGTCATCAAAATATGACCGCTTCATATTGCATACAATGCAAGCTTCTGCTGTACGGAAGGATAGAGCAAGCATGTGAGGCACTGAAAAAGGAATTGGAACCCCTTACACCAAAGAAAAACGAGCTGGGATGGAGGAGACAGGCTGTACTAATTGAATCGTGGACTCATTCAACCCTCCAGTCGGCGCTGGTCCTTTTTTCGAGTGCTCCCCCCGATAATATTGCGGAGAGGTACCATCATCATGTTGTTGATGGTTCCTGGTGATGCTCGGCTCTCGCTTCTCCCCCGCATTGCAGTTGGAGGCCCCGAAACTCACGGTGTAACAAGAGAGTCCGGCAGCTAATTCAGGGGAAACAATTCGAACTTTCACGGAAAATAAAAAGCGACTAACAGAATGTTGACGCTTGCCCGGAAAAGAAAAAGCAGAACCGAAAGTGCAAACTCCTTACAGACGTATTTTTATCCATTCGACGCAATTAGATTAATTGAAGCCCTTAAAAATTGCCTGAACTTCGCCAAAACCCCAATCATTTTCCGTCTGCGCAGACCCCTCCCGTCAAGTATCGTGTCCTACCATTCGCAACTTCTGGATCAAGTACAACGTCTGAGAACCTGCCAAGAATTCTCTCCTACCACTCTCAAGGACATCAACGACATCTCTCATAATACTGTGTACATGCAATCCGGTTGGACGAATCCTGAGATAATTAATAACGCACCCAAAAACGACCAGAACGCTCATTTTCAAAACATAATCTTACCGAATTTGGAGTCCAGATGAGACCAAAACTTCGAAATCTGAAATATCTGAAAAAATCTGAAAAAAATTCAAAAATTTTTTTTTTAATTTTTTAATTCAGTTTTCAATCGAGTGATCTGAAAAATTAACTTCCTGATTGCAATTATAATTTACTTTAATTTCAGATTTCCGGTCGCCTTCTTAACCCCGCCCTCTCGTGTTATGAAATGTCACTCCGGCCCCTCCGTCGTTCCCGATTTGCCGCCCTCCTCGGTTCGCACGCTCTCTCGCCGGTGGGCGTGTCGGTCGACCAATGGCAACCACGACGCTTCCTCATATAAAAGAGGCCGGACGGAGAAACGGCAGTGCTGTAAAGCTCGCCGCCACCACCGCCCTTCCTTCCTTCTCACTCTCTATCTTCCTTGACCAAGATGTGTGACGACGAAGTTGCTGCCCTTGTCGTGGACAATGGATCCGGAATGTGCAAGGTAAGCTTTTGTTTCAATTTATTCTAAGCCTAGGAAAAATTCAGCCTATATTTCGGAGTAATATCTAGCAATACGTCGTTGAAATATTCCTAAAAGTCTTTCGAAATTCATCCAATGAGTCATCCTCTCATCCTCTCCCTCACACTTTTGAATTGCCAATCAATAACGAACAGGTAGGCTTAAATTTTTTCATGCGAATCAAAAACCATTTTGAATTCAACAGTTTTCGAAACGCGCCTTTTCCTCACTTTCTATCCCTCTCTCTCCTGCGTTTCCATTCGCATTGTTTCGCAAAAGAATTGTGTCCTCAGTGATTCATAGCACCCCGGCACCTGCGCGGTCACCCGCTCCCTCCTTTTTTCAAATCTGGCGCCACACTCGACATCCCATTGGGAAAAAGGGCTAAGGGGGTCGCAAGGATATGTTTTTCGTGCGTAGCATTGTGGAGGGCCAACCCGTCGACCGACCCGATGCGCATTTGCAATGGTGTGTGAGAGGCCGTCGGGGAGGAACGTCCGCGACGTTTCTTCGTACAATGGGATATATCACGACCGACCACAGTGTAATGCACATTCGAGGGAGGGAACCGAGGGCATCGCAGTTAGATTCCCCCGCTAGATTAGAAATGCTGAGGGACGAGACCTACCTCTACCGTTTTTGCACGCGTTTATTCAAACCCTGGAATGTTTCTCGTCTCTCAGACGCTGCTTTCCAATCTTCATTAA